TTCTAATGATCAATCTGCTGACGGGCGAATGCCTAACAAAGCTAGAACACCATGAATAACCCTTCCCAAAACAACACAACTTCTGAAAACCCCACTAGCATCTCTGAACCCTAACCATATCAATGGATTCAGATGCTTAAAATAAAGTCATACTCAGTTCTTGCTGACCAAAGAACAGATGGTCTAACCAAATCTTCAGCAACAATTCTCTCTTCCCTTGACAACCCTGGAAGCCTTTCCAAACATGATAGCTAAGGTTACTGGAACCTAGTCATAATTCCCTTGTACAAGCCCTTGAACCAATCCTGGCCATACCCCAAAATGACACGCGCGCACTGAAAACTCCGAGTTAACTGGAGTCGGTGCCCTCACTGCTCTTCCCTGATCGTCAAGAAGTTGACTTCCTTGTCCCCCATCTGCCCTCAACGACAATATGACGGACTTGCCCCCCTATGGGCATTCCCTGCTGAAGTGGCCGAACCCGCTACACCCGTAGCATCCTAGGTCACTAAACAGATTTCGATAACGACTCAGAGCAATCACGGTACATGCGGAATCCGCTCCACAAGACACCTCCGTCTGAAGATCTCTCAAAGATTCCTCGACATGATGACCGGCACCTGATACTCTTGCTAATTCAAACAATAGCTGGAAAACCGACCCGAGATCTAACTTATCACACTTCCCAAGCGATGCAAATTTCCGATACCCACCGGAACTGGCCGAAGATAGCATATTTGTAACATCTGGAGGAACCCTGACCACCTCCTCCTGGGTTACCTCGAACACCCTGAGAACATGATGCAACACTTCATCTCGATCTCAAAGACAATCCAATCCCTTGTAACGAAACTCCATCATGCAGTCTCTGCAAGTGTTGCACCGAATTCGGCCCTGCTGGCCTCTCAAAAGCCGATCCAAACTCCTGGATCCCCTCTCGAGATCCTCCACTATAGGCACCCGATCTGGTCCCCTCTTCCCAAGGTGGCCCTAATCAATCCCTACTCTCGAACTCTAGAAGTCATATCATTCAGGGTCTTGCTCCCTAACACCCACCCGACTCAATCGCCAATGGCTGAACTACAATAGCTGGAGCATCCTCTGCTCTAAACCGACTATAAACTATTCCCATGACATAGTTTCAAATCCCAAAGCGCAAAAAATCGCACAATCAACCCTTGCCGCCTGATACAATAGATCCAAGGCGAACTCGAACTCTTGGCAGTCCTTCCGCTAACTGGCTCACCACCGGAGTCGGGACCAACCCTGGTCCTTCCCTTCGCGTGCTCATCCGCATTCTGCACTGCAGCTATCCCCACTATCAGAACATAACCAATAATTCCCCTTCCCTTCAGCTTCTTCTTAGATTCTCCAAGACTCTCACTAATTCGAGTATGGATCCTGTGCTTTCAGTAGTACGGGCCCATACTACCTTCCACACCTATCCATACTTTCCTTAGCAATCCTCCCGAATCCTCTAAGTCACCTATCCCACTGATGCGCCAAATATCTGCCAAACAACAACATAATATCCACAGAAGCACCTACTAGGCTTCCCCCTAGGCTCCCAACCTCACTGAACCGCCCCAACTAACTCACTGGAGCATATCCTAGGCTTTTCTAGGTTCTCAACCTCGCCCTGCCATCAGCTACTGAGGAACTCCCCATGATGCCAACCATCCACCTCCTGTATATCGTCATATCCACTTAGTAGCTGACTCCCATCATTCCAGAGTTCCACAAAGCACAAAGCAATCAGCATTCGTTCAGTAGCACTCCAATCCAAATAACTATCATAGAACTTTCCGTCCACATGTCGCGACTTGTGCTGACCACATCCATCCATCCTCACTGTCGACTGCCTTATGCATGCAAATTATACACAGAACAGGATCTAATAGACTGTCAAATAATCGACTCTACCCTAGGACCACAACCAGACAAGGAACAGGAAATAAGGCCAAGTCAATAATTCTAAGGCTATAAGATCCTAACCGTATACAATTTTTAAAACATACACATTGCAGTTACAAATACCAATTATCATTCTCATTCCAGCATGACATCCAATATCCTCATGGCTACAAGCACCACATATCAAGCCAACCTATTGCTGACTACTCAGCACTAGCATGCAAGTCTACCAGCTCATACAACATATAAAGGCATCTCTCCTAGCCCTATCTAGCATGCGATTCTCAAATTCATAAATGAAATCATAACAAATAACAATTGTGGGTATTCTGGGAAACTTACTTGAGCTCGGTTGATTGCATGCACCACACCCTTTCTTGTCTTAGAAACCCTTTTCCTTGAAACATTTTCTTTTGAAATTTTTGAAAGCTTTACAGATCCTCAGTTTGAGTCCAGACACACCCGAAGGTATCCCTGAATCCCTCAAACCAAGGCTCTGATACCAACTTCTAACAACCTAAAAATCAGGGGTAAAATTTTCATTTATTTATTATAGCTAAAACATTGATACCATTTATTCCAAACATTTCAAATCATCATTAAGTAAAACATTTATCAGAGTTCATCCCAAAATCATTCATTGCGGAAATCATAGGTGTGTGCACTGCGATCAATCCGAGCCCTTCCTTTCCAAAACGATGATACCTGAAACAATAAACAAAACCTGTAAGCACGAAGCTTAGTGAGTTTCCCAGAGCATACCATACACACAATCCACATAACACATATCATGTTAGCTATAAAAGCTACCTGTATCACATAAGCCATGCATACATAAAACCTAGGAAAGCCATGGGCTACCCCATATGGTCTTACTTCCAATGCCATGGGCTACCCCACATGGTCTTTACCTAGGACTGCCATGGGCAACATCCAATGCCATTGGCTACCCCCACATGGTCCTTACCTAGGACCCACATGGTCTTACATCCAATGCCATTGGCTACCCCCACATGGTCCTTACCTAGGACTGCCATGTGCTACCCCACATGGTCTTACATCCAATGCCACGGGCTCCCTCCGGGGTCTTCCATGCAAGTATCACAAAGACAACTAGCATAAAACATATCAAAAAATCACTAGCATACCACTTAACATAAAGCTAACTACCATACCACATATCTCTACTACAGCTAGTGTACCACATAACATAAAATGGGTCGGCCTTGGTGCCTTAGACCCATTGGTATGGTGAGAAGACTCACCTCGAATGCAGAAGCTTCCTGAAGAAATCCTTAGTTGCTGCCCCGCCAGCTTCCTGAGCTGCCACTACCAATCAATATACCCAAGTTAGCAATTGGGCCCCATACCATAATCCTGAATCCACGCATGGGGTAGAATGACCATTTTACCCCTGACCCAATATGATCCACAACTAAGGTCCGAACCCAAAACAAAAGCCCAACATTATAATGTCCATAAAACCGTCAATGGCCCAATTTTCCAAATTGGGCCCAAACCTTTCTAATGGACCTTATACTAAAGCTCAATATTCTCCTTAGTCAATAATACTGACCAAATTGGCCCACGAAGGCCCACAACAACCTATTCCAAGAATTGGCCCAAACCGAGGCCCACAAATGTGAAGTCCATTTCTATATTGGGCCACAAGGCCCAATAGGCCCAACAATTCCATTATTGGCCCAAAGATGCATTCAGGCCCAACTATCAACAAATCCAGCCCCAAAACCATTAGGGCCCAAAGGTCCGAAGTCCTCAAAGGCCCAAGTCCTCCTGAGAGCGTACGCCCAGCGTACCTCTTCTGTACGCTTAGCGTACTGAGCAAATGGACTGTACGCGCAGCGTACTACGTAGTACGCCCAACGTATAAGTAGCTCATGCACAACATCCATTAAGTGCTTAATACTTGATCCAACAAGTCCAAATTACAGATCTGAGCTATACTTAACATCTAAACCAATAAAGTCACTGACTTGGTGACTTTGCATGCCCCAACAAACCCAAACTCCAAAAATGGCATTCTACTTCCATGAAAGTGACCCTAACTCAAGCATGAACCCATTAAGACCATCAAGATGGCAACTTTCTGCCTTAGGGACTCAAATAGCATCAAGGGTGGCAACCCCAAGCCTAAAAACGGATTTGGAACCATAAAGCCCCATTCTTGGGACCAAAAAGATCCAAAAACTCAACATAATAGATCTAAGCATTCAATGGTCAAGTTCAGAGCTTTATACCTTCATTAAGCTGAGAATGAGTCCTAAAAGCCAGATCCATAAGCTCCTCCTTGATTCCCATCCTTGCATCAAACTCCAACTTCTTGGAAATGGGTTAAACACCCCAAAAATGGACTCCATAAGCTCAAAATGCCACCATGGATGATATATGTCGATTTCTAATGTTTAGAGGGGTCGAGGCTGAAGATGTTAGGGTTTGGTTATGAGATAAGGGGTTTAAATAGGGTCCAAGACTCTAAAATAGGGTTCTGATCTGACGGGATTACGCCCAGCGTAATTCTGGTACGTCCAGCGTACTCCAGAGAACCTTCGCGACCACTCCTGGTCATTACGTCCAGCATAACTCAAGGTACGCCCATCGTACTCCCTTTTTCCCTAGTACGCCCAGCGTACTCCTTGTGTACGCCCAGCGTACTCGGCTAAGCCTGAAACTACTAAACTTCCGAAAGCCATAACTTCTTCGTTATAAATCCGTTTTCAACGATCCTTATATCCACGGAAAGGTAACGAGAAGCTCTACACATCTATCAAATCATATATTACTTTAGACCTTCCGAACAAAAATCCATTATCCACAAAAGCCCGAACTGACACATCACCGAAATACCCCTAAGCTTCAAAACACAACCCGAACACCCAAAACACTTCTAATACATCACCCGCACCCAAATGGACCTAGATCTTACCTTATCTAGAGCCATACTCCTTATGAAGACCAACCTTCGGCCCACAGCCTCAGACTAGAAGTCAATTCGGAGAAATGTTATAAAAAATTAATAAATGTTACAATGATAAAACAAGGATTGGGGACTGATTGATCTTAGAAAATTAATTACCCATGGATTTGCATTGATCAAATATGCAATTCATTCCCACAAAAGAATGTACTGTTTGGCTTTCACTTGGATCCTGTAAAACAATTTAACACCTCAAAAGATATAATATAATAATCAAAAGGTGTTTGTATATGAAAATAAAGAAATGAAGCATACCCTGCTAAAACTCCAACTGTCTATGTCATGTGTAATGGAGGTTGGACCTGAAGATGGTGCCCATTGCCCACTGATGAATCAACCAGTAAATTAACTTGATATCAGAATTATATCAAATCAAGATTCACATTACACTCTAAACTCTACATATAGCTGCACATTCATGATTAATGTACTACTTGAAGCTTGTGTATCTGCATTGATCTAACCACATTCAATTCCTAAAAAAATTTGTGTAATTATGGATGTTCGCAAGTAATTTTGGCGTGTAAGTTCATATGGTGACCCCAATCATCAAAATTACAGAAATTTGAAGCTGAGGCAAGTAGAACATCAAGTAAAAATGGCAATCACCTGGTTCCAGGACTACTCAGGTGGCTAGGTGACTGCAACTTCATTCGATCCTCCAGCCTGGTAATAAAATTGCGATAAGCCACATAGCCTTTGCCATTGCATCTCCAATCATACACACACCAACAATTGTGCAATTCAAAAGCATAATAAACAAGTATGCATACAGGATTTGCACAAAAACCAAGTACACACACAAGAATCGCATAAAAGGAAGCCGATAGTAAGAATTATAGGTTTTAGAAGATTACTGAGTTGTACATACAACAGATTGACATGATTTCAGCTAACTTTGTTTACATCACAGAGTTATCGAAATTTGTAAAAACAAAGATGAGGTTCAACAATAATATAACTTACCTTGATTTTCGGTATGGTGTAAGATAAGCTTCCGAAATAAGCCACTTGAACATAGAATAACCTTGCTGCAGCCAAAAAAACCGTACAGAGCAAAATTGAAAACAAATATCTATCGAATTTGAGTTTGTCGTTTCATCATCGTTAACTTATATCCCAATTCCAGTTTCAAATACATAATTGCTAACATATACCTCAATTACAGGTTCAAACAGAGAATTACTAACCTGGTAGCCGTGTAGGGCTTGTATTCGATAGTAATCGTAACTGGATGTGAAAAGGAAGTCGATAGTCAGAATCAGCGGCGTTGAAACTAATCAACGTTGTTGAGCCTAATGGTGGTGTTCGACAACTAGCATGAGAATCCATGGACAGAGGAAGAAGATGCACGGGGAGTGGGAGGTGAGGAAGTCGCAAGAGGAGAAGATAATGGTCGAAATTAGTGAAGGGAGAATCTCCGATCGAGAGTGAGAGAGAGATAGAGACTAATGATTGAGTGTGCGTGAACGAAACAAAGGAGGTTGTTCTCCTAATTTAAGTCGTAGAAAGCTATGGGGATGACAAGTCATCCCTATAGCCTTCCCCAAAACGCACCTAAATTAGTTTCCTTCCCGCTTTAACACGTTGAGACCGCTGTAGCTGCAAAAGTCAAAAAAAATGGTCAATTATATGGAGACGGCATGTCGTCCCTATAGGGTGTCAATAAGGACGACATATGTCGTTCCTCTAGACCTCGTCTCTATAGCTGCTTATTGTTGTAGCGGAAGTAAAGTTTAATTAAAAACATATTAAAAGTATAAAATATTGAATAACGTATTACCTTAATATATAGATGTATTGTTAAATAAATTTTTGATTAGAAAAGAACTTTTAATACGTTTTTAAGTTTATGTTAGATATATAAATAAATAAATAATGTAACTTTCAACGAATCACATTCAACATCAACTGACTAAGCATATTTAGATTGATATCAAGACATATTTTTAGCTACTTCTTTGCGTCATTGTTCTTACATCTTAGCATGTTGATATCTTTACTGCTTGCCTACATACATCATCGTTTCAAGATTTGTCACTCATATCCTGATAAAAATGCCAATTATGTTAGTATACATGTATGTTTTAATTTGTATTATTATTGTACAATCTCGACACATGGTACGTTAGGTTACGCCTCTTTGTATCTTGTACTCCTAGATATTTCCATCAATACAGTTGAGTATCTTTGATGGGAAATATTGATGAACACACACTCTACCTGTTAAAAATAACAAATCAAATTGTAACCCTAGAGCTCGGGTTTATTGTAAAGAAAATTTAACGTAAGATTTTTCTTGTAATTAACATATTGTTGTTTAATTTAACATTATAACGCATTGTAACTCATTAATTAGTATTAGACACGTTGACTCGATAACCCTTTTGACATGTCTATTTTACCCCCCTATAATTTGAAATAGCGTGTCTATAATTTCAAAATATGTCACCAGATAAAAATACTCTCGAAAGTACACACACGATCGAAAGTCCAGGGAGTTGACTTTTATGTATTTAATTTCCGAATGAGCATGGTTTCAACTTTCAGTATACATGTCCTGAATCTCAGTAACTCGAGGGCTTGAATATTCTGCAAAACTCGTGGGTCGTAAAGTTCAGATCTGAAATTCAAAATTCATATTCACGTAATGATATCAACTCGATCGATCATCAAAAAACATGTAGCCATGTCAACAAGAAAAATACAACAAAAGGAGACAACTATTATTCATCATAACATAAAAAAAAAGGCTTTTAAATTAACGTATATATAGATCTTAGCTAAGGAGTCTTGATCACACGAGATCCACGGTGTCTTGTTGTAAACTTATTAAACAACGCAAGAGCATTGCTAGCAAGATGCTTAACATTCAACACCCTCGCTTTAATCATCCCCTTTTCCTTACCTCCAATGGCTTTATCTGATATCCGATCAAGACATGCTGTCACATCCGTCAACGCAGTGCTAACCCATGATTGCACGTTACTTTCATGCCATGAAAAATCCTTCTCCCCATCATGCACCATTCTTTGTTGCTCTTTAACCGATTGTGTAATCTGATTCACACCATCATTGATCTGATGTAAGCAATCTGTCACTGCTTCATGGTATCTTGCATTCTTTGTTTTGTTGAAATACTCTTTTGCTACCATATTCACGTAGGCCTTTGTGATCCGAGCTTTGACTAGGCATGTGGTTAAAGAAATTCTGGCTAGTTGTTCGGGTGCAGGTGCATTTGTTTTGCTAGCAAAGGGTAGAAGGGTTCGGATGCATAGTTCAGTGTACAAGGTAGAACGACATTGTTGCTCTACATATGCCCTAGCTCGAGAATGGCACTCGACTGTGGGGTTTAAACTGAATATGGCAAGAAAGAGAGTTAGCAAAGAGAGAATTGTGTGTGCCATTTTGAAATGTGTTTCAGATCGATGTAGATGTTATGAATTTGTGCAAGGTGTTATATAAAGGGTCACGATTGTTGCAATATGATTATATATTCCAACGAAGTATGATGATTTCATGTATTTAATTTACTAATAAAACGTTTCAAATCTAATCAAATATATAATACTTTTACATAATAAGAATAAGAATTCTATAATATCTACGGGATCCATGGTTGATTATATTAAGAATTATATATATTTATAAAATATTGATTAATATAAACTTTCAAATAATCATTTTATAAGTTTATAATTTAATTATAAATCCGATGAACAACAACTTGTATTTTAGTTTTAGACAAATAAAGAAGTCTATTGTTTCATCATAACAACTTATAGTTAACAATTTAATAGTAATATATATCTTAGACTTGGAAATATAATTTATTGTAGAAAACTTTTAATCAAAGCCAACAACAAAGTATAACAGAAACATAATCCCTAACTAACCAAAACTTAAAAGATTAAAACTACAAAACACTTCTAAACGAAAAATTACAGTTACATGCTTAACCTAATGATTTCGATAAAAACCTACAAGGTTCACATGGAGAAGACCTAGTTCTCTCCACTAGGGCTGGCCCTAGACATGCGCAGGATGTATGACGACACATTATCTGTGTCGTTTAGTGGTGCGTGTGTGGGGGGGTGGTGTGGGGGGTGGGGGTGGGGGTACTCATAGCGATATATTATTGACCAATAACAAATTAGTGACCGATAAGTGAAAATTTTTGTTTCGATTATCTATTATAATAAATGAAGATAATTTTGCTACATGTCAATCTCTAATGAGGTTTGACACTTGTCATTTTGTGATAATTTTTAAATAAAAAATATTCACATATCAATTTATGGTTTTTTCTAATTTTTAAAATTAAAAAGTCACATAATACTTATAGTTATATATATAAGTATCAAATGTAATAAATATTATACTAATTAATTGCAATTAATATGTTTTTTCATTTCTTATTTCAAAATTTTATTTTAAAAAATACTTATTATTTACATTTTAATATTGCATTTTTTAATCAATCATTTCTAATAAATATTTTACATATATATTACCTTACATATTAAATGTGGAATTTTAATTTAATAAAATGACAAATGGAAAATAGAAAATTCAAAAATTCTAGAAAATGTCATGTGTCCAAATGAAAGAGAAGATGACATGTGGCAAAAAGATTTTGATTTATTAGGGAGGATGCTTTGTAAAATAATGACGGATTAAAGATGTGTTGAATTTGGTACAACTAATTCCCCACCGTTATTATCTTACAACGTTTACTTATTTATTGCGCTTCGTCAATCTATACATTTTCTTTTACTAATTAAGAAAAAAAACATCATATATTATGGATAACGGTTGAGCGGGAAAAAACAAAGAAAATGGAACCAAAACAAAATCAGCTGATAATACTAAGGGAAATGCGATTCTTTAGAATAATCATCGCATTGGGCATCTCACAACTATAAATCGAAGGACTCTATCACTACAAGAAATACGAGTATTAGCGGCGACAAGCCGACAACCAATATTCGCGTTGGTTGTCGCCGCTAATATTCTTTTACCACGATTCACGTGAAAGTCCAAGGTCTCCTAATACCATTACAAAAACCATCTAAAGATAAATTTATAACAAACACATTTAAAAATTAAATATCCTTCTACTTTTGTTCCTACAAATCCTCCTACCCAATTAAATAATGACATGTGTCATATTTATATACTAAAATATCATTAAATGATACACATGTCAATATTTAATTGGGTAGAAAGATTTGTAGGAAGAATTAGTAGGACGATATTTAATTTCTCTTTAAAAAAACAATAAGTGAATAAAACAAAAACAAAAAGCCATATCTTCTACTAATTTCTTTTTATCGTAAGGTTCTTATTTTATTATATTTTCCGAGGTCTTAAATCGGCTTGGACCAACTATGGTTATCAGTAACAACGACTTGATCAATGAATACGTAAAATTAAATATTACAATGTTATAACAAATAATTGTATTTTATAATACAGTATCGGTGCCCTTTGTCACAGTTAAAATTATGTTTAAAGAATCCTGGATTTTGTTTGACAACTCCAATTTAGGATTTTATGTATAATATTAATTCAATATGGTATAATAAATTATTATAGTCGAAGTATCATGCATCGGAGTGTAGTATATGAAAATATTTGCTTCTTTAATTTGGGCGTAAATGGGTTGACCAAACAAAGAGATCGAGATCGACCAGCATATAATCTTTTATTTAAACTGATAATATTTTCATACCTTTATAATTAGAGAAAATTACTCCAATCGTCCTTGGTTTAAGTATCAATTTGTGTGTTCAGTCTTTATTTTCAAAAATTAAATCGGATCATCCATGATATATATACATGTTGTACATTTAGTCTCTATCAACGTTAGCCGTTTGTTTTATCTGTTTGAGTGAACAGGCATGGGTATTTTCGTCGTTTTAGGTTTTGTACTTATAAACGATTACTTATGGCATCATATCATGTATAACCAAACGTTGCTTACCAAGTCCTCGATCAAATCGGTAATTAACTCTCGGAAGCACGGGCTTTTCATCAAATGGAGACGATGATTGACTGGCGCATACGAACAAAAATGACCGAAATCGATTTAGAAACCTCTTACGCTAAGAAAACTTGTCTTTCTTTCGATTTATAAACCTCTTAATCGATTTAGAAATTTTTTTACGAAAATAAATTTTTTTTTTATGTTGTGTTTTTCATTAATGCAACCGATTGTTGAAATTCTTTTTTTTTAAGCTGGAAACCCAACCATTTTAAATATACTATTGTACTATGAAGGAGAGTAAGCAATGAGTAACACTACTTTAATTTCAAGAGATTAAATGATTAATGGTTCAAGTTCCGGATATATGTGAATTTAACTAAAGTTTAAAACGTTGATAGTTCTTCAAAGAAATGATTTTGTTTATTTGAACTTTTTAATGGAAGGCTTAACTTCATAATATAAAAGTTATCCAGCTCAATTTGTTATTTAGTTTAGATCGAATTATTTATAATATAGTTGAGACCTACACCAAATGATACTGAATATCAATTTGTATAGAAAAAATATTTTTAACGCAAGCATCCACTACTAAATATGCTTGAAATTAATGTAAAGCTCGTGGAATTACGACCGACCAGATTAAATAATTAAATGTTTGTCTACTAAATCATGTGATAAAACTAAAAACTTTCGCTCCAAAATTCTGGTCCTTCAAACATGGATCATGAAGCCAATATTGGTTAACCATAGGAAAGTTCCTAGGCGACTTAAGGTCAAACTTTTGCAACATAAGGTCAAACTTTTGCGACTTAAGGTCAAACTTTATGCATTTTTATGATTTTTAAGATTTTTTAGGGTTTTTTTGTTTTCCAAATAATCATTCCCTATATCTATATATATATATATATATATATATATATATATATATATATATATATATATCTATATATATATATATATATATATATATACTAGGTAAGTCAAAGAGCCGTGCTAAGCACGATCCAAGGATATTCCTGATTAAATATAATAGAAGTTATTTATATCTTTCGTAAAAATTTCAAAATACAATATTTCAACAAGTAAAAATGAAAGTAGGTCGTCATTATCGACAAACAATAGAAATATATAGTTACTTCTTGTCGGTTATCGGTGTAGAACCCACAAAAATGCTACTCACATTGTAGTACATTGGCCCACGAATACTCGTACAGTTTTTTTCTAATGGGCAATGGAAGTGTAAAAAGGTATCAGAAGTCAATGTTGGATTATTTCGGGTTGTAATCAAGCCATTTCCTCCCTGTTCAAAACCTGGAAGTACTAAGAAGAAATGTAAGATAGGAAGTTAAGTCGTTGTCACAATTAGGCAATTTTCAAACAACTAAAGATGGGGATTTAAACCTTTAATATCATCTTTATTTCTATAAAATTGCAAAAAGAGAAAGATTTGTCATAACAAAAAAAATTGTAAACAACTTGTATGTTCCACCATGTTTATGATTTCTTGGGATCCTGCTTGAAATTGTAAGTGAAGGTTCTTTTCATAGGTTTTGAACTATGAAAAATGTTACGAGAACATGATATCCAGGGCTTTGTTCATAATTGAAGTAATTCTACTTGAATTTCTATTTCTCAATATCAAATTCTAAGAACGATCTGAAAGTAAAATGCTATAATTTTCATTATACGATGGCTTTGTAAAAAAAATAAATAATAAAAATGGGAAAATGATATAACAAGGTAATATAGTCCTCATTTTGTACATGTTAAGTCATCATTGTTTTTTTTTATGTAAAATAAGCCCTTGAACTTATTGTTTTTATACACATTCAATCCTTATGATTGACTACTCTAGGTTAAGTTATCAGTTTGAATAGATTTAGTCATTGATGTTTTTATTGTAAAATAAGACATTGTTGTTTTTATACATATTCAGTTCTTATGACGAGTTTCTTCAGGTTTTGCTCATGTGGCATCCTACGTGGAACAATAATCAATGAAGTGTTCTCCCACATGGCTCGTCTAAACACTGGAATCATGTGTTACTTATCTTGGTTTTGGTAATAGCATTGTACTATTGATATTAGTAACTATGGTAGTACAATCCCATCTATATTTGATACCAATACAAATTTCATTAAATAGGAATATCAACTGCATTATATCAGGTGAAGAAAATACATTAGACATAATGATTTCAATTGTTGGAAATAATGTCTACATTCATAACAATTGGTTATACTATTAATAATAATAGCGGAGTCCTTTTAGGATACACACAAGCACAGGAAACATCCTCTTTAACAGCTGCAAACTCATCTTCCAAATTAGGGGTCAATTTGAAAAGAATAAAAAATCTCATTTGCAGGAACAATGGTCAAATCCGACATATCAAGGAATAAGGAAGACTTTAAACTT